GATGTGTAAGTTCAAGTCAGAAAACTCAGTGGGTTTAACTGTCAAAATTACCAAAGCAGCCCTTGTTATTTGTATTGATTATTATTTCTGTCCTATCCAGGAATCCAGCAAAGAACAAATGAAATCTCTGATGATCAGCTCAGTATCTAAGTTGTTTATTATTGTGGTCTTATTTTTGACAGAAGAAGGTCAGATCAGAGATTGGCTGGTATCCTAAGTGAGAGCATAAGGCACATACAGGAAAACAGGGGTATCAGGGTCAGTCAACATGGGCTTATGAAGGGCAGCTCCTGCTTGAACAACCAGATCTCCTATGATAAAGGGACCCTTCTGGCTGATGAGGGAAAAGCTGTGGACATTGTCTATTTGGACTTAAGTAAAGCATGATAACACTACAGGATTGGGGAAGAGTATCTGGAAAGCTGCTCTTTGGAAAAGGACCTGGGGGTGCTGATTGATGGAGCTGAACATGAGCCAGCTTGTGCCCAGGCAGCCAAGAAGGCCAACAGCATCCTGGCCTCTATCAGAAATAGCATAGCCAGCAGGACTAGGGCAGTGATTGTCCCCCTGTACTCGGCACTATTAAAGCTGCACCTCAAATACCACGTTCAGTTCTGGGCCCCTCCCTACAAGGGCACTGATGTGCTGGAGCAGGTCCAGAAGAGGGCAGCAAAGCTGGTGAAGGGTCTGGATCACAAGTCTAATGAGGAACAGCTGAGGGAATGTCTGGAGAAGGTTGAGAGGGCATCTTATCTCTCTCTACAACTACCTGAAAGGAGGATAGAGTGAGTTGGGGGTTGGTCTCTTTTCCCAAGTAACAAGCAATAGGACAAGAGGTAATGGCCTCAGGCAGTGACAGGGGAGGCTTGGATTGGATATCAGGAAAAAAATTCTTCACCAAAAGGGTTGTCAGGCATTAGAACAGGCTGCCCAGGGAAGTGGTGGAATCACAGTCCCTGGAAGTGTTCAGAAACCATGTAGATGGGGCCCTCAGTGACATGGTCTAGTGGTGGGCTTGGCAGTCCTGGGGTAATGATTGGACTTGATGATCTTAAAGGTCTTTTCCAGCCTAGTTGATTCTATGATTCTATGTTGGCAGATTATGTTAATACTGTAAAATGCAACTATTTTGTTTTTGCACAGTCAAAAATAATGCTCCCAGGAGGAAGTCACAGAAATTATGTGGCAATTTTATGCAAATGGAATATATCCCATGAGTTTTTATAACAAAACTGAAAAGAAAACTGTAAGAAGCTTTTAAAAGCAGAGGATTTTGTTTCTTGGGAACCAGAACAACTGTAATGGAAGCAGATACTCACATGGCATACAGGATTTACCACTTAAAATATCCAAAAAGCAATGCAGCAAAAGGCTTGCTGTGTTCCTGGAATTATGAGATACACATTAAATGCTTTTAAAATGCTTACATTAGTCAAAGACTTACTCATACTGGGTTCAAAGAAATCTGTATGCTAGTTCATCCCTGCCTAGCTTCAGGGCTATTAAATATCTTAGATACTGTTGATCCTATTCTGCATTTTAGTTCCACAGCATGATATTCTCATACTAGAGGAACTGGACATCTTGCCTAAAATGTTTCATAGTATGCAATTCCAGCAGATTTATGTATGTACTTACAGACAGATGCCATCACCTTTTATCATGTGAGAAGGGGAAGTGCTAACTGTCATCATACCCTGTGACATTTTATAGCAGGCAGGAAAAATAATGGTATTATTGAAATGTGGAGTTCAGAAACAGTAGGAGCTGGTTACATTGTGTGTGTTGAAATTTTAAGTTTTCACACATCTCTAGTGGAATCCCCAGAAATACCCTCACTTTCCTTCGGCACAGTGCCTGAAGGTGTTACACCACGTGCAACACAGGATTTAGCAAGAGGCTTTATTCTCTAAGTAATAATTGCCAAGTACCAGCCAGATACCTCAATTTAAGTACCTTTTGGGAGAAAAAGCAAACCCCAGAATAATTTCTAAACTTTACCACAAATTCCAAACCCCACAGTATATTTGGAAGAAAACCAGACATAGCTAAGGGATGGAGAATTACACAGAAGCTGTGAAATGACACCCCTCTCTCCCTGAATTAACAACCAAATTAACAAATTGCCTTTGGTGCCTCAAGGCAAGAAACATACGGTGTCTACTGAAAATGCTTAGCTACAGAGTGGAATTGAAATGCCACAATGTTTTTCACCCTGGCTAGAAGGAGAGCTAGTACAAAGCTGAGAGGGGATAATGAGAACTCTTCAGTTCATTCTGTAATACATGAAGAAGGGAACATTTCTTAGCGGATATGTCATATTAGTGATTGCTATATTTACCTACATGCATATATCTTGAAATGACATAGTGTTTTTCTCACTGCTAGGGTACAGTACAGAGCAAATATTCACCTATTTATCTCGGGGTAATCGGGTCTTTGTTTTGTTTTTGCTTTATAAGAACAAAATATAAAGTAATTGGTTTGGGTGCTTTCTAAAACCCCCAAATTAACTGATTTCTCCCTTCCATTACCAGGATGGTAAGAGGTATAATTTTTTTTAACACTTGAACCTGAGAAAACCTTAGATGTCCCAACCCCTCACAATCACCCAGTGAGATCTTACCAAGGCTCTGGGTTTCTTTCCCTTGGTGCTTGGACTTACTAGGAGTCTTTGAATAGCAGCATTTCTTCAAGAATGGGATATAGATAAAGAAATCCAGGGCTGACAACTTTGCATTCAATAAGAGTCAGTGCAAGACTGAGTGGAAAAACAATGGATAGGAAAATAAGGAGAGAAACAAGGAATGTTAAAAGAGCTGTGCGAGACAGACGTTCACTTTTCTAATCCACTGAGAATGATGAGTGTATTTCCTGGATCCGTGTTCCCCCACCCACGTAGCCAGAAAATAAACTTCACGGATTAATTTCTAGGAGCATGGAATGGTTTCCAAAGAACACTTTTAGCTGGGAAATAGATTCTCTTTTTCAAAGTACACATTCTCTCTGTCTTAGACCTAAAGAACTTGTCTGGCAAGCAGATGATTTTCTTTTACATTGGTATTGCAAGAATTAGTTCAAAGACTTTTTTTCTGTATTAGTTGTGTTTCTGTAGGCCCTGTAGGAAGATAGTTGTCAGCTGTTTTCCAGTATAAAATGGTAAAATAGCCTTTTCAAGAAAGTGAAATCAAGAGCTTTCTCCTCCCTGACTTCTAGAATATTTGTCCTAAAGAAGAGGATGTAACTTCAAAGGAAAATGAAATGCCTGATTGTAAGTAAATAATGAACTCACAGATAAAACTGTAGATGCTGTAGCTCTTTGCTTACACTCTTTATCTCCCTGCAAAACCAGTAATTTTGTCTACACTTTGTGACTTTTCTGTGGAAAAGAGTAGGAATTAGATTCTCTATTCTATTTTGATGTCAGCTTGCAATCACCTTCAGGACAGAATTCATTAATTGCTTTATGTACTTGAAAGCAGCAAATCTTTTCCATGCAGAAGACCTATACTGCATGTTACACTGCTGGATCTCCTGGATTTGTAGGGAAGCTGGTTTTCTGGATGTTTTTTGTGAAAACTTCTGAGCCATAAGTACAAGTGAATCAAGCAATACTGCAAACAAGGGAAATAGCATAAAATCTTCCATTTCTATTCAGAGAACTTATTTATCTGGTGCTGACTGTATCATCGTTGTGCATGAGTTGTGTGGCAGGTATCACTGATCATGCACAGGTAATATCACCATCATGCTTTCTAGGCATGGATTTTCTCTAGGGCCGGAAGCCTGTCACCTATTTCCCCTGCCACAGGAGCACTTGCTGCTGAGATCATATGAGGCTTCCACTGTTCTCCATTCTAATACCACTTGCAGCTGCATGCAGCCTTTCATGTTTACTTCGGCTTGAAGCCGTGGGTCTGCTGGGAAGGAAATCCAGCCACGAGACACTTTAAGTACCAGTTTGATCTTTGTCAGTGAGATCGACTCAATTTAGACACGTACTGTTGAGAGGTCAGATCTGGACTGGAATATGTTAAGGGCTGTCAGAATATTGTAAGTGGGAAAGACAGCCACCAAGGGTGTAATTCCAACAGAGAGTCTTGTAAAAGGGGATGTTTAATAGACCGTGGAGAAGTTAAAAGGAAGGATTAGACAACTTGTGGGGTCAAGTGCACTTAAGTAATAATAAATGCATAAGGTGGTGCAGTAATTAAAAATGTTCCTGCACTCACTCGATTGGCCTCAGTTTCAGAGCTGTGCCTAGTACAGCTCTGACAGAAGCCTCTTCAGTTCCAAGGCGCTTCTGCAATTGGTCCAAATCATATGAAAGCTTTAAAATTTATGCATAGGTTTAAACTTAAAATGACAAGTGGGAGAAAATACCCTGTTTATTCAGACTCTTGAACAAACAAATTTAACCACTCTGTTCTATGAAGTGAAAGTATTTGTGATAGCTGCCTGGAAAGCAAAACTGAAAAAAAATAATTTCAATTCTTAATTTATCATGTTCAAAAGAGACTGTTTTTATTAAACATGGTACCTGAAGAGCCTTGATAATGGTTTTCAAAAGAACTTTGATCCTAAATATGTGTAAAAAGCATAAGCAACTTTGTTTCTTAAAATAAAAGGGCATTAATTAATTAAAAAAATAAATGTTTCCCTTGGCTATTTTTACTACCTCTAATAAACACACGAGTTATGCAACTCCATTAAATGCTTAGAACAAGATTTCCAATGCACACTTTGCTTATTAAATTAATAGAGTGTTTTCTTACACACCAGGCCAGAATCACATGATGAAATTTGAACTGATTGCTTTAGGCTTTCACTCTCTTTGATTGCTTATTTGGGTCAGGCATTTAGGAAGAAGATAAATCTAATATAAAAAAGGTTAACCTTCTCCTTAAAAACACATTTTAAAAACTGTGAGAGTTGCTGTTCTGTGCTTTGTGATGTGCGTCTTGCTAAGTTCATGTTCTGGTTTACTTACATCTTTTAAGGGAAGGAAAGTTGATGCCCTCCTCAAAGCAGCAATGGAACTGTATGAACCTGAGGTGTGTAAATGCTGGAACGAAGAGGCAGGAAAGGACTGCCTGCTAATAAAAGGGTAATTCAGAACATGATACTTATGCGACCCAAAATAGCACTGCTGTTTCTCTCATATTATATTTCTTGTATTTGGCATACAAAAATTCAGCTGGGATCCTCACTTCTTAAAAATCCTTTTTACACGAAAAGTGACCTTTTCTCCTTAAATGTCCTGCCTCTCTTCCTCCATATATAAATTTCAGTCATGTGGAGTGGAAGAAAGTATCTTATCCTGCCACTTTGTTAGGACAAAGGTTTCAGGTAAGTGAAGCTAGGACTGGGTCTGGAGTTTATATGGAAAGCGGTGGAGTCTGGTTAGCAGCAATAAAACTGACAAAGTTAACTAACAATGTACTGCTAAGGATTTTTTTTTTAATATACTTATTTTAATACCTTTTTATACTGAAAGCAAAAGTCAAAAAGCAGTAATACAGACACTGCCTTGAACCACAAGTGAAATGTCTCACAAGCATTTCCAGGGTCTGGGAAGGATTTCAGGGGGTAATGGTGGAGCTGCCATCCTGGATTCTTTGCAGTCAGCATCTTCAGGTGTTTTGGACAAACCTGTGTTAGGCCATCAGTATAGCAAGAAAAAGGAGGTGCAGTTTTGGTAACACTTGGGAATTCCTTTGCCAGATATTGGTAGTGACACTTCAGGTATTTTAGTTCGAAGCTGTAATGTGATTTGTGAAAATCCAGAATCCTGCCTTCCTGCATGGATAATGAAGACCCATATTTCTTTCCAGTATTATGTGCAGAAACCATTTGTTCCTATATTCTGTTCCTGAAGTAAATATGAAAGCAAAATAATGAGAAGCTATATTTCTGCCTGTGTCTAAGTAAGATAATAGGGAGTCTCACAGGGGATAAATGTAAGCCGCTTTGTTACTTTCTTTCTTAACATTATTTTTTGTTTCACCCATTCTGAACAGTGCAGGCAGGGAAACAGAAAACTGCCTTGCTTCTTAAATTATTTCACAGGCCACGGACAGCACACCTCCTTCTGAATTTGTATAGCATCAGGCACAGGAAGGCCTTACTCCATGACTATAATATCAAGCAGATAATTCGCATTAGTGATTTGTTGTGCAAAAGCAAACCCGTTCTCCACCAGTAATGTGCTGTTCCCTGCTAGGAGGAAGATGGCAGGTTGTTCTGTACCCATTGGGCATGGTGGAGGATGATCCCATGCAAGCACCCCCTGGCTGGAGCCTGTGGTCTTCCTTTTTTCAGATGGGTGCTACTGAAGATGCCAAGCACAGGCAGCAGGGAAGGCTGGAGATGCTGGCCTTGCCAGCAGGGCCAAACCCTCTCCTAGCAGGCTTTAAAGCTGCTGCTTCACCCCACAGGCTGCTATAGGGTGGGTGCCAGAGGCTGGTCCCATGACGGTGACATGCTGGGCTGCAAGTGCTGGCAGTTGGAGGCAGTCTGCCAGGGAAAGACTGCACCATGAGGCCTCAAGGCAAGCATGGAAGCAAGGGTTAAAATGGCTGGAAGGCTTGCCCACTAGAAAACAGGATTTTTTCCATAGTCACTTCCCAGTCTTGGATATACAATCTCTAGTTGCAGAAGGGATTCAGAGCTGGCACAGGTAACCTCTTAGATATCAGGCTGCCCTGTGTGCTTGGCACCAAATTCAGACAATTTTGAGAACAGTTCAGAACTTCTGGCAGTTGTTTTGTTATTTCTTTTGTGTGTGTGTGTGTGTTAGTTTGTTTGTTTTGTATTGTTGGGGTGGTGTTTTTTTTTTTTGGTATTTCTTTCCATAAGAAAGCAGTTCTATTTTTAGGACTTGGCCCAAATTGTTGAACTGTGCGGTTTGAGTTTTACTGTTGTTTTTCCTCTCCTCAATCAAAATGAAGTGGTTCAGGCTGATCCAAGCTGATCAATGCTGCTGCTTCTCATAAAGTTGCATTTGAGGAGATTTTGTGAGTGCATGGGTGCATATGTGGGCATGGAAATTTTCTCTGTATTTCCTGGAATAAAAGGGGTCTTTGCTTCCTCTAACTCTATACTATGTGCTTGTAAATGTCTCTATTAAGACTAGTTTTATAGGACCTTTGAATCCTAGAACAGTTAGGGTTGTAAAAGACCTTAAGCTCATCAAGTTCCAACCCCCCTGCCATGGGCAGGGACACCTCACACTAAACCATATCACCCAAGGCTCTGTCCAACCTGGCCTTGAATACCACAAGGGATGGAGCATTCACAACCTCCCTGGGCAACCCATTCCAGTGCCTCACCACCCTAACAGGAAAGAATTTCCTCCTTATATCAAATCTAAACTTCCCCTGTTTAAGTTTCAACCCATTACCCCTTGTCCTGTCACGACAGTCCCTAAGGAAGAGTCCATCCCCAGCATCCTTATAGGCCCCCTTCAGATACTGGAAGGCTGCTATGAGGTCTCCACGCAGCCTTCTCTTCTCCAGGCTGAACAGTCCCAACTTTCTCAGCCTGTCTTCGTACAGGAGATGCTCCAGTCCCCTGATCATACTCGTGGCCCTCCTCTGGACTTGTTCCAACAGTTGTCTTTCTCATGCTGAGGACACCAGAACTGCACACAGTACTCTAAGTGAGGTCTCACGAGAGCAGAGGACAGGATCACCTCCTTCAACCTGCTGATCATGCTCCTTCTGTGGAACATTGTGAAGGGAGGCCGGCCTAAAATATGATATGTCATTAAAGTGAATTATATTTGAAGCTTGTCTCCCCAGTCTTCTGTTTTCTTTCTTGCTGCAACTGTATACCATTGTGTTTCAATGTATAATGTTTGTCTTCAGCCTGTACAGATGCCAGACCACCCCATTTTTATCACCTGTGGAAAATCAGACAGCGTAACAAACAAATGACCAGAGCAGTGATTGAGGCCAGGTATCCCCATCCCCTCTCTCCTTTGGCTCTGGCACATATGTAGACCATGCACACACAAGTCAGCTTCTGTGTGAAAGGTTAATATTGCTTCATGGTGCTATGCTTCAGCTAATAAGCTTTTTTTACCTCTGCTGCTTCCAGGGCCCAAGTGATTAAAGTTAACATGGAGAGCTACCCCTCTTTATCCTCTGTACGTAATGTATATATTACCACTTGCTCTCCCTTTGTCCAAGAGCATCTATCCCTCTGTTGCACAGGGTGCCTGAGCAGGTGGGAGGGCACGTGCCTGTTACTAGCTGGGTTGGGAGCTTTGCAAAGAAATAGGAAAAGGCAGAGTCCTTTCTGAATTTTGAGCCCAATTTTGAAGGACAAGGTGAGTAAGAGTCAGCCACTTCTCTTCCAACAGCAAATGTCAACCAGGCCACTGTAGACTGTCCTGAGGTCAGTTTTGCAAAGCAAACCTCTGCCCTGTGTTGTAATTTAGGCTGTTTTCCTACAGGCTGTGAATTTGAAGAGGGGAAGTTTCCTTGCAATGACTGCATACAACACATGGGCCACAGAGGACAGAGTTAAATCTGTGCCTCTCCTTCAGGTTTTCCCTGCTTGCTAGCTGGAGGAACTCTCTACTTAGTGTTAGTCTAGCAGCACACAGGGTGAATATGATTCCCTGTAGCCACCCCCTGCACAGTGCCTGGTAGTAGGAGCCCAGCATTGCAGGGCTGGGTGCCGGCTTTCTAAACATGAGGCATTCCCACATTGCTGCCTCTGAATCACTTTCTGGATGGAAGCTTCTGCTCTTACTAATGAATGTAGAATTAAGGTCTTCTTTCCAGGACTTAAGGGCATCCGAAAGATCCCAGGCCATTTTTTTAAACATTTGAGTGCCCTCATCAAAACCGTAACAAATGGCCAAACCATTTTTAGCAGTTTCCAAGTGTAGGTCTAGCCCCAGGTCTTTAAATACTATGGGAAAAAAAGGCATTTGTGTGGAGTTTAGCATTTCCTGGGTCAGAAGTATCCTGGCTTATTTCTGCCTCTGGCCCTGGCTTCCAGAAGTTCAGAAATGTGTGAAGCTCAAAACAGATCTGATTTTCCCTTTTTCTTGATTTCCATTTTGCTTTCGTTAGGCAGCTGTGACATTTTCTTTCTTATATCAGCTTGAAATTAATAGACATTTGAGAAATATTCATTCTGTTGTATGTGTTGTTTTTCTCCTAACTTTCCTGCCAACACTCTAACAATGCAATGTTCACCTAGCAAGGAAACTGAGATGATTATATGATAAAAAGTACATTTTCAAAGGAATAGGGGTGTTAGATTCAGTTTTCTAGGCAAATTCTCATGCAAGTAATTACGTTCTTCCTATTGCATTCCTCTGCCACTTCAATTGGATATGGTGTTCTTCCTCAGTTTGTGCCCTACACTTTTGCACAGCACTGTTGAGTACTGTTAAATATTTATTGTCCACCATTCCAGCAGCGACTTCACTATAGAGGCAGCGATTAAGCCACTGTGCAAGTAAAAATTTGTAGCATATTCTTGTGGTATTAACCATCAAAAATACTTGTTAGTCCAAAACTTTCACAGTAAGACATGTTTTTAACCATGAGTAGGTAATACAATAACTTGTGACGTAAATCAGTAACACAGTTAGCTAGGGTTGCTTTCAAATGCGGAATGTTTGTTGGTGACTTTGGTACAGCAATATAAGAGAATCATGGTATGCCACCTATATTGATACCTTCAAACTGTGATCACTGTTTTACAATAGAAGCTGACAAGTTATGTTGGTGGGTCAATTAGAGTGTGTTTCTGTAAGCAGAGAAAGAAAATGGTCAGGACCATCTGGCCCACAGCAAAAATCTGGAGCGGGGAAAAAGACTGCTGTTCCCTTGGTGTGTTCCCAGTAGGTATGAGTAGTTCTGGTGTTAATTGAAAAAGCCCTGTACATGACCGCTAGCTAATTACAGGGAACTTTTCCGCTACTCCCTGATAATAACGGCATTTCACAGCTCCCTACCAGAAGCAAGTATTTTTTTCCTCCACGTTTCTGCTCATTCATTCAATAGTAGCAGAACTGGGACCTGTGAAGCTCTTGTTAGAATGCTGATTTAAACTTCTCTTTTATTTCACCACGTTACAGAAAAA